TAGTCCATTGTTGCAATATGATTTGTTTTGTTTCAGAAGCGGAAATATCAGTCTGATGGGCATCCTACCATGTCGAATTACATGAGGAAAAAGCAGGAGAAGGAGCGGGAGCGATCGAAGTTGGCACGGGTGCATGCAGCGCGTCAAGAAGAAACTCAGAGAAAACAGCAAAAGCTTTCTGTCGCTAATGACTTCGGTGAGTTCGCCAAATCATTATTGACATGACCTTATTTCCCTATATCTTTACTTTATTCTATGAATTTGCTGTGTTGCAGATGCTTCTTCTCTGGGCAAAAGTAGTGACATGGCTCCTCTTACTGTGAAAACTGAAGAGAGCCTCCATGTGGAAGGAGAGCCCTGGGAAAGCCAAGGTATACTAGTCGCATCGTCAATTTCGCTTCTCGTTAATCAACAGTAGTATTCATCCAGATCCGCTAGGTTCCGAGGATGACCTTAATGCCGAAGAAGTTCTGGATCTGTTTCCAATGTTGCCTTCGCCACCTAGAGAAATTATGGAGTCGCTGAAGGTTTGTGGATCTGGACCTTCGTTGGTTTTCGTCCTTTCAACAAAATCTCTACAGGAAGAATCGTTATTTGGACTTGAAGACGACATCGGATTTGATCCAAATTCAAAGGTAAGCAATTGTTGTATCGTGACACCGTTATAATGGCAGCTTGGCACTACCCCTTAGAAGCATCATTTCAAATGATGATCTTTGGCGAAAATGCGGGTAGAGTAACTAATCCCTCAGTTAGGCACCGCCTCTGCGGACTTCTGGTCCTGCTGACATGATATACAACAGCAGAGCGAAAGGACCAGCAGCCTACGGAGGCGTGCCAAATTGAGGTTTTTATTCCTCTACCCCGAAAACGCGACATTGATAGGAATATCTATGCATACCGCCACAAAGCCCTTGATGATGTATCGCCCTCATCTTGGCAGTGGCTAAGCAAATTGCGACTGCGAGCTTTCCATTTTCTTGGGGTCTTGGACGCGCTATGTCCAGGACAGCGGCAGCCAGTCGTTGATTTTTGA